TCTCCTAGGGCCCTGCCCCTCGAGTCTGAACTCCACCCCCCGGGCAGGTGACTGACATCTCCTGCACACAGCCCCACCTCCCCAGACTCTGCCCCCCCAGCAAGTAGGGGGTGGGGGAAAATGTCACTCATATGTGGCCCCCTCCCCCCGGTTACCCCCTCTCCCCACACATGGGGGGATGACATCACGCTACTCTAATCCCCCCCCAGCTCCCCCTCCCCCGACGGGGGGCAGCAGGGCAGTGCCAGGGTCTCTGCTGCCCCGGGGGCCGCGCCCGCTACCTGAGCTTCTTCAGCTGGCTCATGTCGGGGTTGATGTCAGCGAACTTCAGCGACAGCTTCCAGACGGTGACCACGAAGATCACGGCGTTGACCTGCCGGGGGCAGGGGAGAGGCGGGTTGGGAGGGGGGCAACTGTGTCCCGGGGGTGGGGGCTATGGGATCTGTCAGCTGTGCAGCCCATGGGGCAGCCCCTTGCCTGGGCCGGGGACGCCCCACCCCCGATAGTGACCCAGCTCGGCCCCTGGGGGCTGGGGACTGAGGGGGACAGGGGATGACCAGCGAGGGGCCCAGCTGCCCCAGAGTGGGGCCTGGTTTGCAGGCCGGGCCGGCTCCAGGCACCAGCACAGCAAGCAGGTGCTTGGGGCGGCCAACGGAGAGGGGCGGCACGTCCGGCTCTTCCGCGGCAATTCGGCAGCGGGTCCCTCACTCCCTCTCGGAGTTGCCGAATTGCCACCAAAGAATGATCGCGGCTTTTTTTTTCTTTTTGGCAAAAACGCTGAAGCCGGCCCTGGTGGCAGGTGAAAGAAGCGAGGGCAGCCGACGTCCAGGCCCTCAGGGGCCGGCCTGGGAGCCAGGCGCTGGCATGGGGCTGGGCTCGGGGAGGGGATTTACCGCGATGATGATGCAGACGGGCGCCAGGAAGCTCCAGATGAATTGCTTCTCCAGCGAGAGCCAGCAGCTGTGGGGGAGGGACAGACACGGGTCAGTCACTCACCTGCCAGCAGGGGGCACTACAGGGTGGGGTCTGCTCCCCCTACTGGCAGAGTGGGGGATGGAGACTAGACAGCCCCCCCCCCTTGGTGCCTGGGAGCTTCCTTGTGTTGTACAAGTGTCCCAGGCTGGGGCCCTGAGCACAACCTGCCCCTTGCCCAAGTGGCAGGAGGGTGCCCCCCTCCCTAACACTGGCCTCACCCGCCCCATGGGGGCCCATCCCTCCCCTTCCCTGGTGGGCCCAGATGGCAGCGGCACTCCCGGCTGAGCCGCTCCTGTCCCCATGTGCTGCCTGGGCATGGTGCCATGTTCCCCTCGAGCCCCTGGCCGAGAGCACTGGGCCTGGCCCCCCTCCCGGGCCGGTGACTCACTGGCGCGCCGTGCCGTAGCCCTTGCTGTAGATGGCGGCCGAGACGCCCACGATGAGGGCCGGCACGCCGTAGCCCAGCAGGAACATGTAGCGGCGCCTGAGGCCGTGGGGGGTGAAGACCTGAACCACCAGCAGGTAGAGCTCGGCGCCCTCCAGGCACATCCAGCAGAAGGCGGCCAGGAAGAAATAGTGCAGGAGCCCGGCCACCACGCCGCACACCACCTGCAGCCAACGGGACGTGGGACGTCAGGGCCGGGCTCCCTGCTCCTCCAGCCCCAGCCCCTGGCAGCAGGGGGCGCAGTGGGGAGTGGGGCAGGAGCACTGGCTGTGGGTGGAGCTCTCGGCTACTTCAGGCCCAGACACTGGGGACACTGTGGGGAGCAAGGCAAGATTGCTGGCTGTGGGGTAGCTCCTGGCTTCTCCAGCCCCAGCTTGTGCCAGCAGGGGGCACTGTGGGGAGCAGGGCCTGCAGCTGGCTGGGAGGGGGAGCTCCCAGCAGGGGTCGCTGCGGGGAGCTGGGCCCGAGGCTGGGGGGGGGCGGGTACCCTGTTGCCGGTGCTGGAGGTGCCGGTGAGGAAGACGGTGTAGGCGATGAAGAGCGCCAGGCAGAGGTGCAGGTGGATGGTGGTGCGGGGGCCCTTGAGGGCGCGGCAGAAGAGGAAGGTGACGATGGACAGCAGCAGGCACAGCAGCGAGATCACCAGCCCCACCTTGGTGATGACGTCCAGGGTCCAGTCCTGTGCCGGGAGTGGGGTGAGGTGAGGGGGTTAGTCTGGGTCCCCGCCCTCCCCCCACAAGGCAGCAGCCAGGCAGGGCTTTAGGTGCCCTGCGCCATGGCTGGGAGAGAACCCTAGTGGCTGGGTCCAGCAGCCCAGATGGATTTGATGCTGCCCAGCCTATCCTCCCCTCCCCCCCCCGAGGGGCTGACCCACAGCCCCAGGGCCATGGGAAGCCGAGGGGGCTCTAGGGTCACCACCACCCAAGGGGGAATCCCTGGCACCGATCCCTGCAGGACGGGGGCGCCAGAAAGTGCGAGGGGCCGGGGCTGTTCCCCGGAGCAGAGAGCAGAGCGCCCCCGCCTGGCGGGAGAGAGCCCCTGCCCAGAAGGGAGCTGCTTTTAGACTAGACGGACGCGCTTGTGGCTAAGGTGCTGCAGCTCAGGACTCCTGGGTTCTACCAGCTCTGGGAGGGGAGCAGGGTCTGGGGGTCAGAGCAAGGGGGCTGGGGGTCAGGACTCCTGGGTTCAATTCCCAGCTCTGATGTCACCTCCCCGTGTCTCCTTGAGTGAGGCATTTAACCCCTCCCTGCCTCTGTGCGATGTGGATGGGGATGGGGACTGTTCCCTGCCCTGCAATGCAATGGCGTGAGCCCCCTGCCCCTGCTGCCTGGCCAGGTGGGCAGACATGTCAGTCGCTGCTACCTGGGGAGTCTCCCTGTGCTCTTGGGGGTGGGGGGCTGCTTCTGCCCCTGATCAGATCCAGGGCCCCGCCCGCCAGTGAGGAATGGCTTTACTCCGGAGTGACTCCTGCTGCGCTGGGGAGGATTGAGGGGAAGAACAGAACCAGACCAGCCCCAGGCCCCAGCGAGGGCCGCTCCTACCTCCAGCTCGTAGAAGGCCATGAGCACGGCGAAGCTGGTCAGGTGGTTGCACTGGCAGCGGGTGCTGTTGGTGGTCAACTTCTGCAGGGTGCAGCCGTTGGTGGCCCAGTGCCTGCTGTCAGGCTCCCAGTAGGCGCAGAGGAGGCGCAGGTCGGCCTTGGACTCCTGGGGACAGAGAGACGCTTGATGCATGGGTGGGCAGGAGAGGGTTGGGGGGCTGGCTGGGGCCGCTCTCCCCAGGCCCCGAGAGAGCAGGTCAGGGGGGTATGAGGGGCTGGGCTGGGCTGGGCTGGGGGCACAGAGCATCAGTTTGTCCCTGGGTGGGAGGTGGATTCACCTGCTGCCCGGCGTGGGGGGTGTTACTAGAGATGGGCCCAGGCTCTGCCCCCTAGCACCCCAGGCTCTCCTCCCCCCATGCCCAGCCCAGGGGCTCACCGGCACCGGGTGGCTGAAGCGGATGCTGACGGAGAGGCCGAGTGCCTGGGGGTTCGGGTCACTGATGAAGGCCGACACCACTGGAGACAGCACACGGTAGCTGGGCCGCCCGGGGTCCTGCGCCCACTTCCCCGTCTGGCCGATCCTGTCCCACTCGGGCGCCTCCACCCACCCAGCACCGTCCAGGATGGAGCTCATCCCCTGGTATGTCAGCAGCCCGGCCAGCGTGAAGCCTGCGAGAGACAGAGGAGACGGATGAAATGGGGGCAGGAGGGGCCCAGGGGCAGACTGGTGCCAGGGGGTGCTGTGCTGCTGGGGGTGCTGCCCCCAATGCCCTGGCTGTGCCCATCGCTATACATACCCCAGCACAGGGGATGACCACATACCTTCATTTTTCTGTCCTGGGGCTCCGGCCCAGTTTAATTCCATCTGCGTCTTGCTCTGCTGCAGTGTCACGGTCTCCTGGCTCTGGTACCCAGCCTGCCTGACCGCCAGCCCCAGCTCTGCAACCACAATGCCGGCCAGGGCTCACAACAGAGACATGGAGAGGAAGCCGGTAGCTAGGCAAGGTGCTTTCCTGGTTGTGGGGGGAGCTCCCAGCTACTCCAGTCCCAGCCTCTCCCAGCAGGGGGCGCTATGGGGAGTAGGGCGGGAGCACTGGCTGTAGCGGGGAGCGCCCGTCTCCCAGCAGGGGGTGCTTTGGGGAGCAGGGCAGGAAGACTGGGTGTGGGGGGGCGCTGTGGGGAGTGGGCTGGGAGCACTGGCTGTGGGGGGGAGCTCCCATCTCCCAGCAGGGGGCACTGTGGGGAGTGGGGCGGGACCGTAGGCTGTGGGTGATGAAAGCCCAACTGGGGCCACGTGGCCAGGCACTGACCTGTGCCATTGGTGGATACGATGCTGATCGTGCTGTCACGCAGGGTCAGGGCCAGCATTCTCAACTGCTTCTCCACTGTGGCCATGAGCTCCGTCGCGGTCCGGTGTCTCTGCTCCACGCTCTCGCTCTGCTGCCCGACCAGATTTATCGGCTTCTCCAGAATGTCCAAGAAGCCCTGGCCAAGCAAACGTGGGGGGTGTTGGTCTCACAGTGCCTGAGCCCCTGCCGCACCGCCCATTCCTAGATTGTTAGTCCTCCACTGCCTTCCCACAATCCCCCTGAAAGGAAAGACAAGTTCTCCTGCAATTGACATCACTGCCTCGGAGGTCAGACTAGATGATCACAATGGTCCCGTCTAGCCTAGGAACCTAGGAGAGCAGCTTGTTGGGCACAGAGCCCCCTGGAGAGGCAGGCATGGGAATTTCTGGGCAGTGCTGCTGTTTATTCATCTCCTGTTCCAGGCACTGCATCCCTATAGATTGCCCTGAGACTAGATCCGAGTGGGAGCAGCAATTCCTCCCCCTAACGGGAACAAACCCAGCAAGGCCCCGAATTTTGGCTTGGCACCTGCAGCTTCCCTTTGGCGTTCTGAGAGTTCATCTGCTTCAACTCCTCCAGCGCCTCCTTGCAGAGACGTCCCATCTGTGCCTGGAAGGTGTCTTGGAGGTTCTGCAAAACAAGGCCCATGCCTGGCTCAGGAAAAGAGATCACAGACTCGCAGCCCACCTCCCCCCGTCCCGAGAGGCTCTCTCGGCTCAGAAGCCGGGCGCCAGAGGGAGCGCGGGCAATGCCCCGTCTGGCCCCTAGGGGGTGCACGGCGTTTGAAAGGGAGGGTGGGGGACGGCGGTTGCAAGCTGAAGCGAGTTGCAGCAGCCTGATGCTGCCGATCCAGGAGGGTGAGAATCACCCCGGGGCAAAGGCCTAGGCCGTGGCTGGACTGCAGGGGCTCCAGGGACTGGCCACTGGCTCTTTGCCCAGGGGTGGGCTTTGCCTCAGA